GCTTTGTGGATCAGGCCACCCACCGAAGGCGTTGACCCCCTGCAAACCAATTTCTGACGAGAAGAGGGAAGGAAGAAAAGGACTTGCTAAGTGCTTTTTACGAATAACTTAAAACGTTTCTCTCCCATAGCTAGTTTTCACAATCGCTTTGATCTTAATACCTCGATGAACAATTGAGGATCACATCTTAGGAGATGTGTGTTTGAAGAGAAGTTGTGAACTATGCCGAGACCCCTGCAAAGAATACAGTTACCAGGAGACTATTCCTGGGGGTCACTGCGCCGCCCACCCGGTCTCCGACCAAGCCTTTTCATTGATGGCCAGATAAACTAGGTATGCACCACAGCCCGGCTGATCAGAAGCCAGCTTTAGGAAAATCTGGTACATTACAATAACATATACAATACATATACACAGTAAAGTATATGTAGGCACATACCTGCAGGTAGGTAGGCAGGTAGACACGCGAACACACACCACTTCTAAAATTAAAACTTCCTCTCCCACTGGCACTAAATATGTATTGCCCAGCTGAAGGAAACGGTGAAAACCTGAATTAGCAGCTACCAGCAGCCCTACACTGACCATGACCTGTAGAAATATACTATGTTGTCTAGGGCACTTTACCGAGAAATTTCGCCCACCAGGACCTTTATTAATGCTCAAAATGCCATATGGTGTTTGTTTTAACACACTTCGGTATATTCTACCAACGAGACACAGCACTACACTGACCACGACCTGCAGCCTACACTGGAGGGATAGGCTGGAATGACTGGCTCGGTTGATAGCGTACTCAGCTCACATACTGAGTGTCCGTGATTCTACTCAGCTCACATACCGAGTGTCCGTGATTCTATCTCGGTACGGGTGGAAACTTCAGGCATGTTTCCTTACACAAGCTGCCTCTGCTCACCTAGCAACAAATAGATACCTGGGTGTCAGTCAACTGTCATGGGTCGCATCCTAAAGGACAAGATTAAAGGACCCCAATGGAAATAAGACAGTCCCCATTGAAACACTGACTTATTGGGCTAATAATCCGGACAAAATCTTATTTATCTTACCTGCACACCGGAATCACTCCATGTGAAATCAAGAGACTTGTTAGACAGTGAAAATTATATCCAATAAAATAATAAGGGGTATTACCAGCAAACCTCTTGGCTGTCTTCCAGAGGGAACTGGACACATTCTTTATATCAGTTCCTGACCAGCCGGTACGTGGTTCATACGTTGTAATACATGCGACCAGCAGTAACAGTCTGGTTGACCAGACCTTGATCCATCGGGAAGCATGGTCTGGGACCTGGCAGTGGGGGGCGTTGACCCCCAGGAAGCATCCTTCAGGTATCCAGCCATCAGGTACAATAACATTGAACTGTAGCCTACAGCTTCCCCTGACACTGACCTGCAGCCCTACACTGATGATAAGCAACTGATCTAGGTTAACCTGAACCCCTACACTGTCTTACAATGACCCGAGCCCAACACGGACCTGAAATTTTGTATTGACCTGCAGTCCTACAATGATACGACCGGCAATGACCTGCAGCCCTACAATAATACGGCCAATAATGACCTGCAGCCCTACAATGATACGGCCAATAATGACCTGCAGCCCTACAATGATACGGCCAACAATGACCTGCAGCCCTACAATGATACGACCGACAATGACCTGCAGCCCTACAATACGACCGACAATGGCCTGCAGCCATACAATGATACGGCCAAGAATGACCTGCAGCCCTACAATGATACGACCGAAATGCCTGCACTACAATGACGACATGGCTAGCAGCCTACAATGATACGGCCAACAATGACCTGCAGCCCTACAATGATACGGCCAACAATGACCTGCAGCCCTACAATGATACGGCCAATAATGACCTGCAGCCCTACAATGATACGGCCAACAATGATCTGCAGCCCTACAATGATACGGCCAACAATGACTGCAGTCCTACAATGATACGGCCAACAATGACCGCAGCCCTACAATGATACGGCCAACAATGACCTGCAGCCCTACAATGAACGGCAACATGACCGCAGCCCTACAATGATACGGCCGACAATGAAATGCAGCCCTACAATGATACGGCCAACAATGACCTGCAGCCCTACAATGACACTACCAACAATGACCTGCAGCCCTACAATGATACGACCAACAATGACCTGCAGCCCTACAATGATACGGCCAACAATGACCTGCAGTCCTACAATGATACGACCAACAATGACCTGCAGCCCTACAATGATACGGCCGACAATGACCTGCAGCCCTACAATGATACGGCCAACAATGACCTGCAGCCCTACAATGATACGGCCAACAATGACCTGCAGCCCTACAATGATACGACCGACAATGACCTGCAGCCCTACAATGATACGGCCAACAATGACCTGCAGCCCTACAATGACACGACCAACAATGACCTGCAGCCCTACAATGATACGGCCAACAATGACCTGCAGCCCTACAATGACACGACCAACAATGACCTGCAGCCCTACAATGACACGACCAACAATGACCTGCAGCCTACAATGATACGCAACAAGACCTGCAGCCCTACAAGATACGCCAACAAGACTGCAGCCCTACAAAGATACGGCCAACAATGATCTGCAGCCCTACAATGATACGGCCAACAATGATCTGCAGCCCTACAAAGATACGGCCAACATTGACCTGCAGCCCTACAATGATACGGCCAACAATGATCTGCAGCCCTACAATGATACGGCCAAAAATTATCTGCAGCCCTACAATGATACGGCCAACAATGATCTGCAGCCCTACAATGATACGACCAACAATGACCTGCAGCCCTACAATGATACGGCCGACAATGACCTGCAGCCCTACAATGATACTTCCAACAATGACCTGCAGCACAATACGGCCAACAATGACCTTCAGCCCTACAATGATACGACCGACAATGACCTGCAGCCCTACAATGATACGGCCAACAATGACCTGCAGCCCTACAATGACACGGCCAACAATGACCTGCAGCCCTACAATGACACGACCAACAATGACCTGCAGCCCTACAATGATACGGCCAACAATGACCTGCAGCCCTACAATGATACGGCCAACAATGACCTGCAGCCCTACAATGATACGGCCAACAATGACCTGCAGCCCTACAATGATACGGCCAACAATGATCTGCAGCCCTACAATGATACGGCCAACAATGATCTGCAGCCCTTCAATGATACGGCCAACAATGACCTGCAGCCCTACAATGATACGGCCAACAATGATCTGCAGCCCTACAATGATACGACCAACAATGACCTGCAGCCCTACAATGATACGGCCGACAATGACCTGCAGCCCTACAATGATACTTCCAACAATGACCTGCAGCACTACAATACGGCCAACAATGACCTGCAGCCCTACAATGATACGGCCAACAATGACCTGCAGCCCTACAATGATACGGCCAACAATGACCTGCAGCCCTACAATGATACGGCCAACAATGATCTGCAGCCCTACAATGATACGGCCAACAATGATCTGCAGCCCTTCAATGATACGGCCAACAATGATCTGCAGCCCTACAATGATACGGCCAACAATGACTGCAGCCCTCAATGATACGGCCAACAATGACCTGCAGCCCTACAATGATACGGCCAACAATGACCTGCAGCCCTACAATGATACGGCCAACAATGACCTGCAGCCTACAATGATACTGCCAACAATGACCTGCAGCCCTACAATGATACGGCCAACAATGACCTGCAGCCCTACAATGATACGGCCAACAATGACCTGCAGTCCTACAATGATACGGCCAACAATGACCTGCAGCCCTACAATGATACGGCCAACAATGACCTGCAGCCCTACAATGATACGGCCAACAATGATCTGCAGCCCTACAATGATACGGCCAAAAATTATCTGCAAGCCCCTACAATGATACGGCCAACAATGATCTGCAGCCCTACAATGATACGGCCAACAATGACCTGCAGCCCTACAATGATACGGCCAACAATGACCTGCAGCCCTACAATGATACGGCCAACAATGACCTGCAGCCCTACAATGATACGGCCAACAATGACCTGCAGCCCTACAATCGCAACGACCTAAAAACGGGAATTTTTTTCTACGACCTAAAAACGGGAATTTTTTTCTACGACCTAAAAACGGGAATTTTTTTCTACGACCTAAAAACGGGAATTTTTTTCTACGACCTAAAAACGGGAATTTTTTTCTACGACCTAAAAACGGGAATTTTTTTCTACGACCTAAAAACCGGAATTTTTTTCTACGACCTAAAAACCGGAATTTTTTTCTATCTGTTTAACCCAAACTACTTACTTTTTAGTTGGCAAAGGGATCTTTAAGGAATTAGGGATTTGCTCCAATTCCTTGAATCGAGTCACTGCCTTCATTCCCCCATTAGCTGTATGACCCCTACGGGTTTAGGCCTTACCCATGAATGTGATATTTTTTAAAAATCAAAATGAGCATGGTGTATACATAAAAATTAACTGACAAAGTATTAATCGTAAGTGAAGTTTTATTGACTTTGGTTATCCTAGCTTAAGTTCTACATAATTTACTATATACAGTACATGTATAATCATTGCAGATTTCAAATTATATACGAGGCTTAAATAAAAAAATGAAGGGATCTTGATCCAGGGAACTGAAATACCCCCCCCCCCCCCCCGTTTCCTTGGATTGTCTCTGCCTATTCCTCAAGCGCTGTGCGACCCATACGGGTTTAACGCTTCCAACTAAATATGATAACCATTATTTTACCTCTGAGCAATGAAATGCATCCCTATAATTGCTCAATCTCTTGAACAGTAGTAATGGGGTAAAAAAAAATATGGTAGAGTATGAGAGCCAAGCCCAGAGTGAGAGTCCAGCCTGAGTGACATTCTTAAGGTCGGTCAGGCAAGTATGTTGTACACACTGTTATGGTGCAGACTCTTACCTCCTGGCTGAAGGAGATAGTGGAGACGTACACTTTGATGACCATATCTGCGTTTGCCACGAAGATAGGGAATCACTGAAATATTTATAAGCCGTATACAGCACTACCTCACACTACCCTTGACACTGGCAGACTGATTTTCTGGCTTCAAACTTACGATCGTCGAACCAGAAATAAACATTGGCAGCATCCATAGAGAGTGCAAACTTTATGGATGAACTAGCATCAAGACAACTCTTAGAGAATTATCTGAGCGTGTTTCGGATATTTTTAGCCAAGCGATATCTTTATGTCTTTAAATTTTTCGATGACTGTAGAATATCTTAATAAAATAAAAATAACTATAATATTTTTTTCCGCTGTTGTTGCCTATATGACCAAGGCACCCAGACTGCGCACGCGCGGGCCGGCTTGGACTTCACTGTGTCCGAACCGCTGGAAGATAAATTTTCACGTTAAATTTATATTTTTATATGATTTTCTGTATAATAATTATACAGTGACACACCTTAGTGAAATTTCTTTAATTTATAATGATTCAATTATCGTTCCTACGTACGTTTATTTGTTTAAATTTTTATATATAACATGCAGGTCAAACCAACAAATGCGAATACACCTCGCCATCTGTCAAAATAAAAATGTGCTCTTTTAAAAAATATATTGTAACAAACTGTATTAAATTTTACCATTATTTTTATATTTATTTGAAGATTTAGAATGCATCACATCGAGTTTTAACTGAAATATTTTAAGAAATCGTGAGATCTTCCTAATATCTCAATTTCAGATTGGATCATATTACAGCACACGTGGTTACCTACATTGCAATGATTCTGGGTGTCACTTTCCCTGTGCTGGTCGTCGACCAGGCTGCTCACTTGATCAGCAAGGCTATTGGTGTAGGCAAAAGACACGATCAAGACATATATGTATTTTGCAATTTGTCGGTATTACCACACCATTTCCAGTAAGTTGTTAGTGGTCGCACCGCGCATTCCATGTATAGTATACTCAGTACATGGGAAACCGGTTATCCGGACTTGAGTTTGGAGGTGGGAAGTACAGTGCCAGCATTCTGAAGGAGGGGTGGGGGAGACTGTAGTTTGGAGGGGTATTCGAACTGTAGTACCGGCGCTTCTCTGGCAAGACAGTGGAGTGAGTGATAGTGAAAGTGTTTCTTCTTTTTTTCGATTACCCTACCTCGGTGGGAGACACCTGGTGAGTACCTTAACAAAAAACAAAAAGTTAAGATGGCTGACTTGTTCCAGTTGAACAATCAAGAGTTCAGCGCTGTATGACCCTGGTGGGTTTAGCTAGCGCTTAGTTTTCATTATAATAATAACAACAATCCGGGTTCAATCTCAGGGCGAGTGGAAACGTCAAGCAAATTTCCTTACACTGTTGCTCCTGATTACCGAACAATATGTAGGTAGGTACCTGGGTGTTAGGTGACTGTAGAGGGTCGCATCCTGGGCAAGAGGATCAAAAAGATCTTAGTGGAAATAAACTACTTATTAACCCTCCAGGTTAATTCTGAATATTAACCCTCCGGGTTAATATTCAGAATTAATTTTGCTACATTCTATCGTATTTTTTAAAAAAAATCTTAATAAATTAGGTTCAACAAAAGTCGTCCTGCCTTTGACGGATATTTTATCTGAGGTATATTGATAAGATCACAGTCTTTGATATTTCAATATACTACTGTATTATGCATAATACAAACTCTAGATGATAATAAGACTACGTAATTTATGCCATTTTAAGAAAGCGTTGAGTCTACCTGGGATGAGGACCTGATAAAGTCCCTGGTGGGCGACACGTCTTCTCAATAAAATGCCATAACTCACATATTGTATCTTATCTGCATACTTGTCAGTGTATAATACCATTGACACGCAAACTCAGTTTAAAAATGTCAAGATAGGTTGAAAGTATTTCAACTGATCTTAAATGCACGACATAAACAGTGCAGCCTATCATGTAACACTAGCCTCTTGGTGGAGGCTGTTGATGATGACAAGATTCTTGGTCCTGGAGCTACCCTCTTCTTCCTCGTATCAAACCTGATTGCCTCCACAGAGCGCTGCATTAGTCCTATGGGTTTAGCGCTTCTCCTTCGCTAACCATCTTATCAAGAAGCAAGCTGGTATGATCATCCATGGAATAATAATATATTTATTTACTACAAGTACATGTACAAGGTATACAGGCCTGGCTAACATCAATGACATGCTACTATATAGAAAGCCGCTTGTTATGTTAAGTATTTCGGACAAATTAAGTCAGTTTTGTCCCAGGATGCGACCCACACCATTCCAATAACACCCAGGTACCTATTTTAATGATGGGTGAACATAGGCAACCGGTCTAACCACACCCAATGTTTCTACCTTCCCTGGGAATCGAACCCAGGTCCTAGTCGTGTGAAGCGAGAGCTTTAGCCATCAGGCCACTGAGAGGACCTCGCGAACTTCGGACATGGAGTTCCTTTGAGCCAGATGTAAACATGTAAATAGTTCATCGCCACTGTAACTTGTTCAACTATCAAAACTTTGCGGTCCAGTCCCTGGATCCATTATGTGCTTCTGTAATCTTTTGACTACCACCCACAGGATGGGTATGAGGTTCATAATATAGATATTAAACTAAATTTGAGGCCGAGCGACTCCTAAACATCATACCTGCTGGTGTATCCTTGATAAGACATGACGCCATCATCCTCATCATTACACCCAACACGTTCCCTTGAGGGAGGTTCCTTGATCCTGGTGAGGGACTCTTGATCTGGGGAATTGGATATGTGCCGCTCCAGTTCCCTGAATTGAGCCTGAATCCCTTCTAACCCCCCACTACAGGCACTGTATAATCCCTACGGGTTTAGTGCTCCCCATAATAATAACAATAATAACGCCCAACACAGTTGGTTCTTTTGCGATTGGCGAGTTCGGTGAAGATAACGTTACTGAGCCTTCTATTCAGTTCACCTTTGAAGAGGACAGCAGCATTCCTTTTCTCGGCGTAATTATCTATATAAACACTACTAGCGCCTCCCTTAAGTTTCATATATAAAGAAGACTCACTACCCAGAATGATCTGTCATAGTTGGTCTCACAACTCTAGAACCGGAAGAGATGTTCTGTCGAATTTGTTTTTCTAAAAGCTTTCAGAATCTGCAGCCCCTATCTTCTGAAAGACTAGTGCCTCAAAATCACTGAGATCTTGCACAGTTTACTGCTTCCTGCCACCTTCATACAAAACTGTAGAAGAAAAGCACATAGAATAATTAACGATCTGAGACTTGATACTAATGGTAACCATTACTGACTCTTCCTTACTTCCATACCTGAGAACGTTTCTAGATTACTTAAGAAAGCCTGATTCGTCACCATCACTGTCACTACCACTAATAATATTAACAACGCTTGTGTTTTATGTCATAGCACGGCTTCGCATCAATGGATTAACTCAGAGCAATCATGAAAAGGACAGAAACGAAATAAAATGCATTGAATCGGCTCATATTTGTGCCACAGATATCTCCCAGAACCAGGGAAATGACAGAGGATGGTGGTGTGTGCTGAGGAGCAGACACCGCCGTCCTCATGTGACAGCCAGGATCGCACCTCACGATTCATCGTCAATCAGTTAGTCATTCACAGGTAAGAACCCACAAACAGTGAATGGGAATTGAGGATATTGAAAGACTAGTGCAGAAGAGGAAAGCAGCCTGAAATGGAAAAAAATGAACCAGGGCTTGACCCAGCAGCAAAGCTTCGTGTAGCAGTAATCACTTGCTCTCCCTACTACTCTTTACAGACTTTAAAAACCTTGATTTCCAAGAGAAATGTTCTCAATAGTAGTTTGCATTACTCTGTCTGTTTCACAGCCTCTTCCCAAGAGAGTGCAGATTCAGGGATCTCAGTCTATCTTCACAGGAAAGGTTCATTTTACAGTAGATTAATTTTGTCATCCTTCCTTGAGACTCACAACTTTCTTTATCATCTGGGAAGTAAGGTATATTTAACTGTTTCATACGTAAAATATTTTTTGTAATGGTTTAAGTGCCCCTTTTATACATTTATCGGTATTATGTATACCTTGTTTCATCAAATCTCTCCTCGTTTGTCATGATACATTGTAAAGAAGGGTGTATAAACAGGCGTGTCTGTGTAAATCCACTGAAAGATGTGGAAAAAGACACTTATGTACAGTTTAAGAGATTTATTCTAGGAAACGCTTCGCCACGAGTAACTTCTTCAGTCCTTCAGGTATTAGGACTGAAGAAGCCACATCTTGTCGGTATCACCATACCATTTCCCAATGAGAGGTGTTTATCTCTTGCTGTAAATACTCTGAGAGTTTATTTCAATCCCTAAATTCTTTTTTACCCTATTCTAAGCCTGAGAATCGAACCCAGGACTGTTTTTAAGCTAAGCATTGACCACTGAGCTACGGGTGCCTGGTCTCGTCACTGTGAGGGTGTCACCCAGGAAATCACTGCCAGAGGTCACCAGTGTTGTAATACCTGGTAAATTTACCACAGTATATCCACACGAACTGTACATAGCTAACCATAGTGAGTCAATAGTGAGGTATAAATTCGTGAATGATTCTTTCGCGGTTTGATAAAACAGTGACTAGCGTCAAAATAATGTGTACACATGTAAGACCTGGCACGGTTACAACTCAATTGTTGTTGCTAAAAGTACACTCTTGTTGGACACTCATACATACACGACTCATGCAACCATCACATGCAACCACTGTCAACACGTAAGAACATTAGAGTATTGCTGTAGACCTATTGGCCCATGCTAGGCAGGTCTCTCTAGAATCCAACTAACTCTTCCCACTCATATATTTGTCTAATCTATTTTTAAAGCTACTTAAGATACTTCATTTGATGACTCTACTTGGCATATTGTCCCACTCATCTACAACTCTATTGCTAAACCAATACTTTCCTACGTCCTTTCTAAATCTGAATTTATCCAACATGAAGCCTTTGTTTCAAGTTCTTTCATGGTTGGCGCTGTATAACCCTTGTGGTTTAGCGCTCCTTTCTGATTATAATAATAATCATTATAATTTCCTGGTTGGATATCCTAAGGCTTTTTCAGTCTTAATACAAATTAAGAAAGAAGGATGTTTATTGCTGGGAGCCA